CCTGAATGGTTTGAAGTCAGGGCACATAGGGGCGGGGTTCCCAACAAGATCTGCATCCTATTAAGTCGCTAGGAAAGAGAAGGTCGCATATTTTACGCAACATCCCCCACCGTAGTTGGCGGCACCGCAAAATTACTATTTCTGATAGCTGTTCGGGGTAGGGTAGGTGTCAACCCTACCCCTCCCGTTATGCAGCAAAATTAGAAAATTTGGCAAGAAGATCGGTAGCTTCTAGGAGGAAACCCTACTGGAGGGAAAATTTGGGGAGCAGGACGTGCCCTGATTGAAGCTCCTAATGGAAGGATGAAAGGACGATCTGGTTCTCGATTTAGCGCTCTCTTGAAGGCACATCTAATGTTTCAAAGTCTTGTAAGGTGAGGAGAATGGCAGTGTGAGGTCGAAAGATCAATCTTCCAGCAATATCGCGTCAGGAAGTTGAAAGGTAGGGAGTTAGGGCGCATGACTGCTCAAGTGGCCCATCCTCAGTTCAAGTGACCCCGCCCCGCGTTGGCTGTCGTCTCGCTTTTTGTACGCTCTCTGACTGCTACTGTCTGGTCTCGCTCGCAACCTCAACGAATCTACGCTTCTCGCTGCGACCGAGGAGGGCCTTATTCAAGCGTTTCGAACAGTTTCCTCTTTTTACTTCGTGGATAGGCTAATCGGCACATACACTTCTATTTTTCAACCCCATCACCTACGACGACGTTTTGAACGGTTGATCGCGTAATGTGTCCTTAGGACGTATTTTGCTATTCGGGTTGAATTCCGAGTGACATTTGGGATGTAGAAAGCAAGCTTCACGGACGTTCTCAAGAGTTAGGTAGGATAGGGTACAGGTCAGGTGGCATCATCGATGTCACTGCGCACGCGGCGGTAATGACTCACCATCCTCGCGCCCTAGCCGCACGCGACGAAAAGAGTCACCGTGTTGCCGCACTTGTGCTGCTAGGTTGGCTAGTAGGCGAAAGGTATGCGACGAATGACGGTCGTTGGTGGGTATCGCGCGCGACGTCGCGCCAGCCATTGACGATGTTTCTAGGTCATAAATATTGACAATATACATTGCACAACCACAGATAGCCATAAATATCCACGATGTCGAAGTCTACGTTGAATGTGGTGCTACAATTGACAGGCTAATGCAAATTACGGTAACGCCCGCGCCCATCGCCGCCCATGATTGAGCGACTGCAATTGTCTTGATCGCTTCTCGTGGTCGTAGCTAGCAGGAGCATTACTGGTGGAAGTTGAGCGCGTGGGTGTGGCTTCAAGGACCTTAACAGAAAGCCGGCAGCGCTGTATCAGCTTGGATAAAGTATAGATTGAAGGCACAAGAGACCAGGAATGTCAATTATAAAGAACTGCAACCTTTTGTGATGGGTCAGAATATGCCTTAGAAGGCAGTTGGCACATTTTTGGAATAGTATGGTTACTCGGCCTAGATTTGGTAGTTAGGGAGCGCTATATAGTTGGGAAATGGCAAAGAAACGGAAGGTGAAACTTTTTTGGTTCAAAAATCCTGCGTAAGAAAGAGCTCGTGCAATGAAATTCAAAATCGAATTTTGGGAAGACGAGTTCCGACTTTTAGGCATGACTTAGCAAATAACCGCTACGAAAAGTACGGCTGCATATGTGTATCAGAGTTCTAGTAGCAGATAACAAACCGTTCCATATCAATCCCTTCGCTTCAAAACTTGTCTGAGATTTAGGGAAATCGATGACGATCAGGAACGGTCGTCCATTTGTGGGCGGGCGGGCGTTTGGGTCGGAATGTTGTGGCTTGATAGGGCCCTTATAAGGGCACCTTCCTTGGAAAAGGCATTATGCAGCGCCTGCTCAGGGTCGCGGAATTCCGTCCTGCCAGGCGTATTAATCCTACTCGTCTTGGGGATTTATCGTGCCAACTGCCTTTAAGATCACAGCCCCTCCCCCTTTCCTTGAAGCATAGTGGCGTTTATTGTGGGCCAAGTATTCAGTGCTGTAGCAGGGCCAACGACAAGTGCACATATCTTCGAAGAACGATTTAAACCACGAAAAGTTGACAACACTCCCTCTGCTCGTACTCATCAATGTCAAAACGCCTGATGATTGATCGGGTTTGTGACACATAGTTGTTGTGATGTGGCGGCATAAGCTGTCAGTAGAAGAATAAGATTGGATTTCATGTTTTCCTTCTTATTGTTTACCTTTCACTCATGACACATTTGCGTTCTTTTGAAATATTTTTGTCATCATATTTGAGATGACTGACTCACGAATTCTTCGATGTCAAAGGGAGGACACGTCAGGTTGAGGGGCTTGGCCTACCGGCGCTATCCCCTTTAACCGTCACCCAAGTGCGTGGGCCCCTTTCAATTAAACGTTCAACTTCACCAGAGCCCTTACCTCCGATTTCCCTGAAAAAAGTTCGTCAACCAGTGGCACCACTAGCAATGGCACGCCTGTTACACATTGTTCGTCATTCCTGACCTTCTGCAGACATTGTACATTGCTATCACAAGAATGCTGAGTTATGGGCAAAAGTCGTGCCCCAGGCGGGAGTCGAACCCGCACCTCACGCTTTCCGGGCGAGTGCGCTATCCGTTACGCCACCAGGGCCGCTTTTACCCTCTCAGCTTAACACGTGAACTGCGGCGTAAAACAGCAGTTATCATAACAAAACAACTTCAAACAATTCTACATTGCACCATTCTAATATTCCCACTAAATTCGCTTTCATACAGGCTCCTCGTGAGAACCCAAATATGACCCTCTCTCCTTTTCTTCTTGACCACCTCTCTATACCACCCCTTCGCTGAATATTCCTCAACCAAGGCCTGCCCTGGTCAAATAAAGTGCAAGATTGTATGCTTGATTACTACTTGATTGGGGCTTACAAAAAGGGCAGGATGATTAATTAAAGAAAATTG